TTGGGGGTCGTTCTCATGATTAGGAGCTTTATGCTTGTGAGCTTAATGGTGCTTGATATAACGACTCCCCATCCTTTCTTCGTGTCTATACGTGAGTCGTCCTTGTGTCCCAGAGCTCTCAATTTTGAGCTCCATTGAGGTTATACATAGGAGGATTGTGCGCGGTTCTTGCTAGGAATGAAAGAGAAAATAGTAGTGTTGGAGTGAGTTCTTAAAGGAGAGCATTGGTTATGAAAAATAGTGTGACAAGTGTTTAACTCTCTAGTACCTCCCTCAAAAAGAAAAGAAAAAGAAAGAAAAGGAAAGTAGAAAGAAAGAAAAAGAAACGAAAAAGAGGTAATAAATAGGGTCAAAATAGTAGAGAGTGCGACAAAAGATTCGAATAGTATACTCTAAGTGGGGTTTCTTGGCATGCAAGCCATTGAAATCCCCACAACAGTGTTTTAGAACTCCTTCAATACCAAGTCGAAATGTCATAGCAAGAAAGACCGAGGAGGAGCTCTTAAAGATAGTTCATGATGGGTGATAGGTTGGAAGGAAGAAGCAAGGTTTTCCGGTCAAATCATGGCCACAATGCATTTTGACCACAAGAAAGATCACGGCCACGACTCACGGATCGCACCTTGAAGTCAGCCCACTATCTTCTCAAACCCGAAGGCCAGTACGATTGCGTTTCAAGATCACGGCCTCTCATCTAAAGATTCCGCCCTCGATCTCTACCCTTATGGCTGTGAACTTGTCCATCCACTGATTGCCTATAAATAGGAGACCCTTTCCCCTTTTAAGGAAGCTAATTTTGAGAGAAGAATTTCTGGTTTTAGAGAGAAAGAATGAGAGAAGCTGAAGGAAGGAGAAGGGGAGAAGAAGTAGAAGGAGCTAGAAGTGAGGAGGCATTTCCTCAACCTCAAGTCTTCTTCAATTTCTTCTATGTATCTTCTTCCCTTTTTTATGTAGTATTCCTCTAAGGTACTAGAGTATCTAAACCCCAAACCCTAGTTTTGGGATTTACTATGTATGTATAGATATTTTAGGGTTTGAAAGAATGAATGTGTTTATCTAGTTGATTCTATTACTATTACGCTTCTACTCTGGGCATGGAGTTCTAGGGTTAGACGGGTATGTGTCATCGAGAAAATCGAGGTAGATGTATTAATAAGGACCTATGGTGGTCGAGACGACCAAACCCCTGCTATAAGTAGCCTTCCTATATAGAACCCAGGATAAAACCTTGACGTGGATGGTGGATAGTATACATTGAAAGGAGCTATGAGCTTACTGTCCCAAATATATAGCCTAGATCGAGGTGACTTTATATGGGTCTAGGGGAGGCATGCTCAGAGGTGTGTGGATAACCACTAAAGCCTAAGGAAACGAGCTCACTCACCACATTTGATAACGCTAAGTATCTAGATATACATAATATCCCTAGGCTAGGGTGAGGGATAGTTCCCCGAAGTACCTACTTTTAGTTTTATTCAATAACTAAACTAGTAGTTCCCTCAAATCCTCCACTCAAACCTCCAAAACCGATCAAGTAATTAACAACAAGGTGGAAGTAGGTTAGGGTACCAGGACCCGAGTAAAATACGACATTGATTACCACTATACGACAATGTCATCTTAGGTTAAACTTGGCTTAGGATGGGGTAGTTGTTGACACGTGCTAGCCATTGACAATAATCTGCACGGACTAAAGTGATCAGAACCTTTGTTGTTATATGTTTGACAATCGCATAAGTAGTATTGTATATTACGGTTTAAAGTGTTTTAGTTATATTCTTTAAATCATTAATGATAATGGATTGTATACTTAATCCTTTCTAATACATTTACTTGCAAATATTGGCAAATCAACGCAAATAATGTCTATATTGGTGATCTGTATATTTCTCTACCTTCATCCGCCATATTCAATTCACCTTTAAGCCATGGAGGAAGCTTGTGATTGGTTTTACCCTTATGACTTCTCTTATTATAGTTAACTTGGATTTTTTAGTTCATTTGTTTTCTTGTACATGACCCTGCATGTATATATGTATCACCTCTCCATTGGTTAAAGTGAATTGATGCATGTGATTTTTTTATTTTGTTGGTCAATAAACATTTTGGGAGTCACTAATTATTATCAAGCTATTATGAATCACATTTGTTTCAAAGTTTGGTTCTTCAATTTTGTTGTCCTTGTTGCCACAAACGTGTTTGCCTGACCCTTTTTGTTGGTATCAACATTACTTTTTTTTTTGTCAAATACAAAAAATGACAGATTACATGGGGCTGTTACCATATTGGGATGTATAATTAATCTTCTATTTGCATTACTGCCAATCAACCAGCATAAAGATGTTCTTGAATTGGTTGTTGAATAGATTAAATTATTGTTTTTTTCCCAAATATGAATATGTATCGTGTTGTCATAAATGTCAGTGATTACAATGATGCAGTGGAGTTGGTATTGTTGGACTATACGATAGCAGAATTTTTCAATGTTCATGCTGAAGATTTGTTTTCAACAAGTGAAGCTACGGCCGCTACCAATCTTCCTTCACGACTATTGGCTTCATAAGGCAATGGACTGAAGTTGTTGATCAAGATTTCTAATTATGAGTACTCACATCCTTCAATCAAGCTCAGTGTGCCGAGAATAGTTGAAGAACTGACCTAGCAACTATTGGTGCAAGGGAACGCTCAAAGGATGTTAGGGATAGTGAGAAGGTAATTTTACCAAACGTTATATTTGCATTTTTTATTTGAATTAAAGTCTATGCTTTTGTCAACGACTTTTTATAACTTTCTGAAACACTTTCTTCATTATCTGTATAGTGGAATCGACACTCCACACTCTTCTTCCCAATCCATGACAACCACAACTCCTCCGGCCAATCGCCACATATTGCTAAGAAGATGGGAGGTTACACGGGTGCTATTGAAAATAAATTGCCAAGTCTTGAAACTCCAAGTTCTTTAAAGAGAAAGATTGACGATGTCATTCCCTCACACCAATGTAGTCTAAATCTCGATTTTAATCTTAAAATCTTACAATTTTACGATCTTACCTATGAGTTCTGATCCTGATTTTATTGTAAAATTTTTGAACCTTAAAATACCATAAAATCCCCGATTTAAAACTCTAAAATCCTTAAAATCTATAATTTCTACAATTTTGTACGATTTTAAGGTTCATATCAATTGGAGCAAAATTAGGTCAGTCAAGTCGGGTTATGCCAATGAACCAAGTCAAGTTTACTTACCCGATCCAACATAATGAACAACACAACCCTAACCTGATAGACGACCCTCAATTTATTTTCATTCTCTTCCTCGTATCTTTCTCTTTTGCATGTCGATACCCAACTCCTTCCATCAATAATTGCTTCCACCCTCCCAATTAGCTTGTAGTTTGTTCCCACCACCCTCGCAATTATCCAAATCTCCATTCCATTGCAAGCTTTCGTTCATCTCCCAATCCTTAGCATCACTGTCTCCAACCTGTTATCAATTAAGATGAGAATGCATCAAGCAATGAGTTATCTTTGCCAGATGATGGTGATCAAGGAAATATGGTTAATAGTGAAAGTACTTCAAGTGATCCGGAGAGTAATAATATCATTCCTCAAGCAAATAGACAAGAATTCTACAAGGATGAGAGTGAGGGTGGGGCGGAGGGTGAGGATGATGATGTGTAAGTGATGTTAATGTTGATCCTAATGATCTTATGTGATTTTCTACTCTTAACTATTGATTAAAGTGATTTCTATGAGGTTTCAGGTTGCTTATTTGTGTGTTTATGTTATGTACAAGAATAAATATATGGAAGGAGAAGTGTGTTTTAAATGTTTATTTTAATATGAACCTTGAAATCTTATGATTTTATGATTTTAATTTAAGATTCCTATTTTATCTCAGTTTTCAATTTTTACATAAAATCATAATTTTAACTGCATTGTCTCACACGGCTAGCAGAAGTGTGTTTTCCTCTGCTGATTCAGATGGAGTCTGATATATTGGTGGAATGTGGTTCGGTTTTTTTTAATTATGGGATTACTCTTCTGGTTTGTTCCTTTGGGATTTTTTACAATGCATTTCTTCCTTCAGTACTGGATTTGGCTTGGGAGTCGGTTTCCCCTATCACAAAGTCTCATTTATTTCTACTTTGCTTTTTGAATGAAAGTAGTAGTGACCTTTTTATTCATTGTGTTTGTTTTGGATGGTTGTTTTAGATTAGTTGGTTGATATATTTTGTATTTTTTTAAAATAGGGACCTTATTAGATTATTTATGCATCTTTCTTCCTCTGCAAAGGCAGTAAAGCAAAGAATACATACATTTGTTTGGTTTATGGAAGCTGATATTCATGATCCATAGTTATTTAAGCATTATTTGTTACTGTAAATGTAAAAATGTTTTAGTTGTCGTCTGTATGTTCATTCAACTTGCTCTTAACTAATGGCAAGTACATGTAATTTGGAAACACTGAATGATGGTAGGCAATGACGATGGTGACCAAACGTGACATTAACCCTATTGTAGGGTCAGAATTAAGATTATACGTATCATCTCTAATTTTTCTTTCATTTTGACCATTATGATCTTTGTTATGGTCATCATCAGTTTCGGTTGGCAATGACCTTTTTGTGGTCATATTCTTTCTCCGTAAGTTTTGTCGTTAAAACTAAAATTAGGGTTAATGTCACGTTTGGTCACTGGGTTTACTAAAAAGTGCCTAGTTTAGTCACTAGAAATATTTAATTCCAATGTTGGCCACTCGAATTAGTAAACCGGTCCATGTTTGGTCACTCTCTGTTACCTTCCGTTAGTCTCTGTTAACACAGTCAATCATTTGTTGACTTGGCAAACAGAAGTGCCGACTCACCCAATTAAATCCGCCACATCACTAAACTGACCTGCCATGTCATTTCCCCAGCCCAACCCTTCTCAACCGCGACCCAACGCGTAACAAATTCTTATTGCGATGATTCTTTCCCAACTTCTCTGCCGCCATGAATGCCCTCCTCGCTTCATCTCCTCCAGGGAATCCACCTCCTCCACTCCGACAACTTCCTCCCTCCAGTCACCTGCGATTCCTCCCTCGATGACCTCCATTCCACTTGCGATCAACCCACAACACTCTATTTCCAAACCCAAGACTCCAAGCCCTCGATTGTTTTCCCTCGAGGCTCATCTGAATGCTGCTTTTTGTCGAACAATGCGTAGTGTAGCTGGAGCCACGACTGAGTCCACTTCAACAAAAACAACTACGGGAATGGCTTCCACGGCTTCAATGACAAACCCAATTTTTTCTTTGGTTGATTTGATGATTCTGTTTGCCACGTCAGCACATAACGGATTTCATTAACGGAGTTGGACGGAGAGTGACCAAACATGGACCGTTTTATTAATTCGAGTGACCAAAATTGGAATTAAATATTTCTAATGACTAAACATGACATATTTTAGTAAACCCAATGACAAAACGTGGCATTAACCCACTAAAATTATAATACAGTAGCGAATGATATGGCGCTTACCTAGAAAAATGCAAAGCGAATAAATGAGAATAAACAGTCTATGTAATTTTAATATACATTGAAACAAAAATATATAAGATGTCACCCTCATACGTTTCTCATACTATGTCGCTCAAATCATAGATTGGTTGATTTATCTTTTCTCTTGTTCATAAACTATTGCTCATCGTTATCAGAAGTAGATTCGTTGAATACCTTTGGAACCTCAATAATAAGTTTATACAACTCGGTCGGCTGGTTTCCATTGCAAAACCCTGTATATAGTTGAAAAATTGATAGGTATCAGTATGATAAATCTTTAAAACAGTATTGCAAATATTGATATTCGAGATGAAGACTACTAATGGTCATCTAGGATGGATTCTACCTGACGCACCGTTTGTACTATAAGGGTTCTAGTTGGTGCGTGGACGACTATAAGTTATTTGGGTTGCATATCACCATAAAGATTGTCAATTCCAAGCATACTTAGCTGGTTATTGCAGGGAATAGTACTTGGAGCCCACAATTCATCAAATTGGACAGTGGACTAGGCTCCAAACACACAAACTCATCTACGCAGTTAAAGAAAACACCATAACCCCCCGCCCCCCACCACCACCACTTAAGCACGACATTGCTCTCAATGGAGAAGAGGGAAAGATAAGGGGAACGATGTTACCGGGAAATCAGACTACAGGGAATGGTAACTAGAAGGCAGACCAGTCAAGAGCAGGGGACTGGAAGGGGACCAGTCCAAAGGCACAGAGCTAGAGTCATCAAAACACACTGGATAATAGAAACCATAGTTCCAAGTGGAAAAACCGAAAACAAACAAAAGAAAAGAAAATTATGGTGGGATTACCTCCTCACAAGTGCTTCTTTTACGTCTTTAGCTGGACGCATAGGGTGGATGCTCAGAGCGTTGTAGGAACAGGTGCCTCCAAGAGAGGATCCACATTGCTCTTGAGGTAACAACTTCAGATGGTGGCCATGCACACGACAGGTGTGACCACCTGCACAAGTCAGCAAGGCCTGGCCATCCGACAAGATGCAAGAGAGTGTATACTCGGATGGCCAGGGTGGTCATGGCTCAGGATCCGTGACCAACTCATAGTGGTCTCCAGCTTTCTTGTGAGCAGGCTTAACTACCTGCAGTTTCGGCTGCCACTCCTCCTTGATCTTTTCTTTTGGTAACGGGGAGGACGTGAGTGGCGGCGAAGGAATGGGAGGAGAGTACAGCAAAACGAAAGGCACAGAAGGATACACGACAGACTCGTGCACCTGGTGAGATACAACATGCAAAGGCGATAACGCAGATGATGACTTGATATATACACATGGTTTTGCCCAACATTCTTACACCGTTTGAGTCTTATCTCTCGTGTTTTAGGCCGATTTCACGCTAGGTTGTTCTTGTTTGTGATATTTCAGGTCCTAGTACGTGAATGAAGGTTTGGGAACGAGTTCGGGGTCGATTGGACGGTTGGCAAGAAGCTGAGGAAGCCACACGGGCACGCCTAAAAACCTACATGGTCGTGTAAGGGAACCCATGTGGCCGTGTCGAAATTCCAGGGAACTCACACGGGCAGCTTGGAAATCCACACGGAGGTGTGGTTGTGTCCGTGTAGGATGGCTGAAGTTCACTTATCGAAACGCCGCGTTTTGCACACTCACACGGGCAGCTGGGAAAGCCACACGGCCGTGTTGCCTGTCCGTGTGGTCGGAGTGAAGATTGACATCCCAGAGCAGATTGTTCCCATCTTGATGAGTATGAATGCTTTGTTTGATGTTTTCCTCTCTCTCTCTCTATGGAGTAGAACCCTCTCTCACTTGGGTATGAAGAACCCTAGTTCTATGTGTTAGGAATCATTGTTTGTAACGACTTTTAGATTGTGATATTGCTTGATTATAATCGATTGAAGTGTTTTGATTGAGTCAATTGAAGTCTGATCACCTTTTATTGATTTCTGCTGCAACCTGAGATAGATAGAATCTTATTAGGTTGTTAGGGGTTCTTCAATCGGTAGTAGTGAATTGATTATACAAGAGTTAGTCAATTCACTGCTTTGTACTGGAATCTAATTCCAGTAGTGGAGTTCTGTGTTCATTGCCTCAACTTTCTATCCCGGTGAAGACTAGTTGTCTGCCGGGTAGTTTGACTGAGAGGGCTTGGTCAGCTTAAGAGATTCCAAGCTACTGTCGGATCTTCCGCAGTATAATCAGCAGTAAAGCAACCAAAAGTAATTACAACTATGACCTAAATAAGGAGCTAGGGGGACTCATTCCCGAGTGACTCTTCCTTTGCTTTAGAAAACCGAATCAATTCCTGCTTTCTTACGGCTTTTAGTTAAAACCACAATCAATCGACTTAGTTGGCTAAATAATAGATATTCACGGAGTAGGCAGTAGATCTAGACCCCGGATTGATAATTAGAACTTGCCACTTTACTGCATTTCCGGACTGCGATTGCACTTGGTCGCAGTTTGGTGTTGTGTTTAAGCTTGTCAAGTTTTGGCATCGTTGCCGGGGAACCTCTAGGTTATTGGAGAAACGTGAAAGTTTGTTACTCTAGCTTTTTCTTTACTACATTTTCTCTCTTCCACTTGTGTGCCTTCACGAGTTGCTTGCTGATTGTGTGCAGGTAGTGCATGACCCGTAACCAGTCGGGAGATTTACTACCATTAGAGCATGAGCTTGAACGGACCTGTAGGAACTTCAAGCGGGCTCTAAAGGCGCGACTGGCTGCGGAAGAGGCGCTAGCACAGCTGCAAATCGCCGACGAAGAAGAGATGGGTGACCCACAGAACAATGATGTGGTCATCCCCGAGGAACAGACCATGGGGTACTACTGGACCGCTAGAGCCGCGGACATGAGGTCGCCCATTCAGCACCCTCATGTGCCAGCGAATAACTTTGAGGTGAGCACCTCTGTCATCACCATGTTGCGCGGTTCGGTGGTATTCCGTGGCAAAGGGGGGGGTGCTCCCGATCACATCTGAGGCGATTCCACGAGCTCATCGATGGAATCAAGATAAATGGGGCCCCAGCCGATGCCATCCAGCTGAGGTACTTCCCGTTTACTCTGGAGGGGCACGCCAAGGAGTGGCTAGACACTCGACCTCTAGGTTCGATCACCACGTTCGCCAACCTGGCGGACAAGTTCCTCACTCGCTACCATCCTCCTTCCAAGACGGCGGACCTGCAGAAGCAAATTTCCCACTTTGCTCAGGATGAAGACGAGACCATCCGGGATGCTTGGAAGAGATACACCAATCTCTTCCTCAAGTGTCCCAACCATGGTTTTACTGACGCCTTCAAGGTGGACACCTTTTACCATGCCCTCTTCCCGGAGGACAAGCAGCTGATTGACTCGGTCTGTGGCGTGAATATGCTCACCAAAACACCGCCACAACTGATTCAACTCTTTGAAGAGATGGCAGAGCATGGCTATGACTGGGGAACTGCGAGGAGATCGAGACGAGAACCAGGGCGGGGTGTGCATGCTGTAGCCACCCAGTCATCTGATTTGGTGCAGGTGGTATCGAAGCTGGTTTCAGTCATCGATCGTTCTGGGATGATTGCAGGTACAAGACAGCAGCAGGCGATGCACTGCCAGTGGTGTGAGAGTTCCCATCACACCGTGGAGGATTGTCAGGCGATGAGGGAGTCTACCACCCCCTAGGAGCAGGTGGACTTCATCGGCAATACCAGGCGCTTCGACCCCTACAGCAACACTTATAACGAGGGGTGGCACCAGCATCCCAACTTCTCCTGGGGTGGGGAAAATTCTAGACCACCAGTCCCCCAGGGACCACCTGGCTTCCAGAGGCCTCCTTACCAGCCTAGACAAGGGCAATTTCAGCAGCCGCAACAGCCTCTCTACCCGCCCAGACAGGGGCCAGTTCCACCTCAGTCACAGGTGCGGCCATATCATCAGATAGGGGCAGCACCTGCAGCCCCAGTACAGAGTGACCCGATGGCGGAATTGTGAGATCAGGTGGGTTCTCTGGACACCTCCAGTGCAAACAAGTTCAATAACATCGAGCAGTTCATGGAGAAAGCTTCAGGTAAATTCTTGGAGCTAGAAGCTAGTCAGAGAAACACGCAGGCTGTGCTTCCGGAGATCCAGACCCAGCTTGGGAGTGTTTCCCAGGCTGTAGCTCAGAGGACTCCTGATAATTTACCTGGTCAGACCATCCCTCATCCGCGGACCCAAATGAGCACTGTAAGGCCATTACCACCAGGAGTGGCAAGGTAACTGCTGATCCACCTGTTCGGGCACAAGAGAGAGACCCCTGCTTCAGCACTTCCAGCTAATGAAGAGGAAATGAAGAAGGAGGTTGAGGTGCCTGCTCCTAAACCGCAACCAGTGGTGAAGGAGTACGTACCCCAACTTCCCTTTCCTACTCGGTTGCACAAGGACCGACTGGAAACTGGGTTTGCCAAGTTCATGGCAATGCTGAAGCAGGTAAACATAAGCATGCCCTTCGTAGAGGCATTATCGAAGATGCCCAAGTATGCCAAGTTTATGAATGATCTCCTCATCAACAAGAGGAAGCTTGGGGAGTTGTCAACAGTGATGCTCAACAAGGAGTGTTCTGCCATCCTGCAGAACAAACTACCAGAGAAGCGAAAAGACCCAGGGAGTTTTACTATCCCTTGCATGATTGGTAGTTTGCATATAGGGAAGTCCTTGGCGGATT